AGAGAGAGAAAGGGGGAGAGAGAGAAAGGGGGAGAGAGAGAAAGGGGAGAGAAAGGGAGAGAGAGAGAAAAGGGGAGAGAGAGAGAAGGGGAAAGAGAGAGAAAAGGGGAAAGAGAGGGAAAAGGAGAGGGGGGGAAAGGGAGAGAGAGATGTAGTATGTTTGTTTGTGCATTTTAGATTTGAATGGGGATATCAGGTGTCTTGTTCTCTCCATCTGTCTTATTCCTTTGAGGCAGTTCTTTCTGAATCTGGAATTAGTAGTGCTTTTGGCTTGGTTGGCAGCCAGCAACCAAATGAATCAAATGATTCTTCCTGTCTCTGCCACCCTACAGTGCTGTGACTACAGGTATACAAGAGACTGTAACAGGCTTGTCGCATGGTTGCTGGGATGCAAATTTGGGTCCTCAAGCTTGCACTGCAAATTCTCCTAAACCCAGAGTATCTCTCTAGCTCCTAGGCTCTCTTTTTCTTTTCTTATTTTAACTCTTATGTTAGATTTTGGTTTTAGTTCTGTGGGAGTTTCATATATGTTTTGAGCATACTTGTCTCATCATAGACTCTGTTTTCTATGTGGCTTGGGAAATAGAAAGAGAGAGGGAGACATTAGACTAGGAATGACAAGAACAAACTCTGCTGCAATTTCTCTCCCCTACTTGGCTCTGGTACTTGAACCACTTAGGTCTAGGGCACAGATTTTCATTATATAGTTGTGCATGTGTATGTGAGTGTATGTGTGTGGTGGGCATGGGCTGGAAGTTGCATCGATCCTCCTGTCTAAACCCTGTTTGTGAGATTATGGATATCCATAAAGATCAGCATAAACATTTTTAGTTACACTTAAATTATTCTGTTCATGTGTAGATATGAGGGACATTTGTGTGCCATAGCACACATATAGAGGTCAGAGGACAAGACAACTTGGAAAGTCAATTTTCTTCTTCTGCCATATGCATCTTAGGGATTGAATTCAGATCTTCAGACTTGCCAGCGAACATCTCTACCTACTAAACCAGTTTATCAGCCCCCAGCATTTCTTTCTTTTCTTTTTGAGACAAGGTCTCCCTGTATCTGGAACTATGTAGACCAGGCTGGCTTCGAACTCACAGAGATCTGCCTGCCTCTGCCTCCTGAATGCTGGATTATACGTGAGTATACCACTTTTTCCCTGCACCGTGTGTTTGTGTTGCAATGGGGTTTCATCATATAGCCCTGGCTTGGAACTCTTTATGTAGACCAGACTGGCCTTGAATTTGTGACATTCCTTCTGCACCTGTCTCCAGGGTGCTGATATTACAGGCCTGAGCCACTATACCAGGCTGAACCTTTTCCCTTCTTTTTCCTTGTACTAGGTATTAAACATAGGACCTTGCTCATACTGGGCAGGCAAGGACTCTACCACTGATCTATATCCCTAGCAATTGTAGATATTTCTGAAAATCTAGATAAAATGAAGTCTATAAGAGGCATAATTGCTGTTAACATCTTGGTCAGGGTATCCAAGGCTTGCTTGCTTTTCTTTAACCATTGCTGGGAAATTGAGGTTCTAGTGGTTTTGTTGTTTAATTTTATGTGCACACAAGATACCCTGACCTCCACACTTGTTCACCCATATATACACATAGATTTTTCAAAAGTACTTCATTTTTTGCGTATGTTCTTAAGTGTATTCAGGAACCCACAGAGGTCAGAAGAGGTGTCCGAACAGGCACTGGATCTTCTGGAGCTGGAGTTATAGATGATTGTGAGCTACCATGTGGGTGCTGGAAACAGAACCCAAGTCCTTTGCAAGAGCAGAGGGTGCTCTTAACCAGTCCTATGAATATTAATGAATGTAAATGTGAAGCAAACTTCCTGCTTTAGCTTCCCCAGCGCTGGGATTAAAGGCCTAGAGTGTTTTGTTTTGTTTTCAGACAGGGCTTCTCTGTGGCTTTGGAGCCTGTCCTGGAACTAGCTCTTGTAGACCAGGCTGACCTCGAACTCCCAGAGATCCGCCTGCCTCTCCTCCTGATTAAAGGTGTGCGCTACCACCGCCCGGCTGCCTAGAGTTTTCTTTTGGGGTTGGAGATTAAACCCAGGGCTTTCTGCATGTCTAGCACAAATCTGGCCATTGAGCTACATTCACAGCCCTGCCATTTTAAGCACTCAATAAAACTGTTTATCTCCAATCACTACCAGGGTGGCACAGGCCTTTAATCATGGCCCTTGGGAGGCAGAGGCAAGGCAGATCTCTGAGTTTGGGCTACATAGTGAGTTCCAGGGCAGCCAGGTTTACATAGAGACCTTGTCTTAAAAAGATCACACTCTAATTATTTTCCAGAGAGACTCTGTATTGGGCCTTTTGTTGGTAGGCCAGCCCAGCCTGCCATAGACAGTAGTTTTAGCAGGAAAGACAATGACTCAGCTCTCCATTTACATAATCATGGCACAGCACAAGCAATTGAGTTTTAAATAAAGCTGCAGGCTTCCTTTAACATATGATTTGGAAGAATGAAACTTTGGACATTTGGCTGGGAACAGTACTGTAAAGCCTCTTGTAGTCTGTTGCCTTCACCCTCACTGGACCTGGAGGAGCAGCTACCTGGCTATTGTTTCCAGAGTTCTTTGAAACGTCCCAAGCCCTCAGGTCCTATAGATCATTTGAGTTTGGCCAAAGGTTTCTGGGACAGGAGACAAGTTTGAGCTGGAGCTGTTGTGTAGTGGCAGGCATTGTTTTCCTTGTTTTAGGCAACTATTAACTTCTAGATTTCCTAATTCTTGATTCCTAAATCTTGATTTCCTAATTCTTTGTAATACAGCTCTCCCCCTTTTTTCTAAATACATACTATATAATTTTTAAAAGAGCCATATGCTTTTTTTGTCTGTTTTTTTTTTCTTTTTGAGACAGGGTTTCTCTGTGTAGCATCTCTGACTGTCCTGGAACTCATTTTGTAGACCAGAATGGCCTCGAACTCCTTAAGATCCACCTGCCTCTGCCTCCCAAGTGCTAGGATTAAAGGCAAGCACCACCACCACCAGGCCAAGCTGTACCCTTTTAAGACCATAACACAGCAGGCAGAAATAGGTCTGATCTATATAGCAAGTTCTACCAGGGCTACATAGTCAGACCCTGTCTCAAAAAGAAAAAAAAAAGTGGTACTAGGAATTCAACTCAGGGCAAACTCCAAACTCCTTTTAAAAATTTATTTTTAGGGGCTCGTGAGATGGTGCAGTGGTTAAGAACAATTTTTGATCTTGCAGAGGACTGGAGGTCAATTACTGGCACCCACATCAGGCAACTCACAACTGACTGCAACTCTAGTTCCAGGGGACCTTGCGCCCTCTTTTGGGCTCTGCAGGCACTGCACTTACATACACAACGTTGCATAGAGACACACATATAAATAAAAATAAAAATCATACTTTAAAAAAAATTCCATAATTTTTTAAATTTGTGGGTTACCTTTGTGCAGGGGCCATGCTAATATTCTCTGTGTTGTTCCAATTTTTAGTTTAGTTTATGTGCTGTTAAAGCAAACACTCCTAATTTTAGACAATCTGGCTAAGTTGTCTTTGCGAATTTTGAATTCCCTATGTAGCCCAGGCTGCCTTTGAACTTGTGACCCTCTTGCCTATCCTCCCAAGTTGCTGGGATTGTAGGTGTGTACTACCTGGCAGCATACTGAATGCGTTTTTTCACAGTAGCTATTTCACTTAGACTTCACTAACTACATAGCTTAACTTTGCCTGTGTTAGAAGTTGTATATGTGATGTCATTCTCTTTTCAAGTCCTACTTAAGTATGTGTGTGTGTGTTGAGAAAGGGTCAATGAAGTTCCATCTTGGAACTCACTTGTAGGTCAGGTTGGCCTTGAACTCATACAGATGTGCCACCACTACAAGCACCACCTTTTTAAAATAGAGCTTTAGTAGTGCATGCATGGAGTCCCAGAACTTCGGAGGTATATGCAGGAGGATCACAAGTTCAAAGACAACATGGGCTACATAGAGTTTTTGAGGTCAGATTGGGCTATATGAAACTGTCTTTAAAAAAATCAAATCAAACAACATTGTGTGTGTGTTTACACAGTCTTTCTGTAATTCAAGTTGGCCTAGAATTATGTACCCTAGGGTAGTCTCCTCCAATCTGAGGCAATCCTCCTGCCTCAGCCTACTGAGTCCTAGGATGCCAGGCGTGCACCACCATGCATTATATTTGTGAGACTCTTGAGTTCATTCCCAACACTGTGTGCTGTTTGCTCATACTTTTAGCATCCCATTGTAGAATCACAGTGTAATTATGATTCCATTCTACTGGTGATTGGCTTGGGTTTGGGTGCAGACTGAGGTCATTAGAACACCACTATTGTGAACATGGTTACACATGCCATTTACTGTACCCGCCACAGGATCGATTTGTCTTTAACTTTACTAAGAAGTTATTTTATAGTTATTTATAGTGTTTTATACTCCCTGAGAGAGGAACTATTGGTCCAAGAGAGGTACATAGTCAACTTTCGATTTAAAGACGTCCAGTATTGACTTTCCCAAAGAGAAATTCCCCAATCTCTATTATATTATCACCAACACAATATGAAACACTGTCATTTCACATAACTGAGTAACTTTAGAAAATTACCTACGCTGTCTGTGTGTTTCGTGTTGTGGTATGCTTGTGGAGGACAGATGACAGCTTGGGAAGTCTGTTCTCTGCTTTCACTATGTGGGGCCTGATAACTGAACACAGGCTGTCAGACTTGGTGGCAGGTACCTTTGTCTTCTGAGCCATCTTATTGGCCCAGTTAAGTAACTTTTCTATTTTTAGACTTGTATTTTTGACCATATCACTTAAAATATTTGCATACAATGGTATGGATGAGTCACCACTGTACAAGTCAGCATTCTGGAATAGGACTACTGGCTACTTTCCAGTTCATTTTATAACTGAAGTGGTGCTTGTTCTAGGAGGTGGAAAAACTACATTAAATGTTTGGTACATTTTACTTTTTCATTTATATTACCTTATTGGCACTTGGAGACATTCAACAATTTTACTTTTTATTTCCCCAAATACAATAGTTTTTGGTGTGTGTGTGTGTGTGTGTGTGTGTGTAGGGAAGAAGGAGGTGTACATTGATGTCGAGTCTAGAATTCAACCTCAGGTGTCATTCCCCAGGCAACATTCACTTTGTTATTTGAGACACGTTCTTTCATGTACTTGAAGCTGGCAATGAGGCTAGGCTGTTGACCAGTGAGCCCCAGAGATCCTCCTGCCTTTGTTTCCACCACACTGGGGTTAAAAGAATATAAAAGAATGTGTCATCATGTCCAGGCCTTTTTTTTATAGGGCCTTATTATGAAACCCTAATTGGTCTGGATCTCACTATGTAGACCATGCTGACCTTCATGCTTGTTGTAGGAAGAGTGGGCTGTGTCCTGGCGCCTGGTTAGCTTAACCCCCGAAATAACCACATGAAAATTGTATTAATTAAATTACTGCCTGGCCCATTATTTCTAGCCTCTTATTGGCTAACTCTCCCATATTAGTTTAACTCATTTCTAATAATCTGTATATCACCACGAGGTCGTGGCTTACCAGGAAAGATTCTAACCTACGTCCGTCTTGGGTGGGAGCTTCATGGCGTCTGCCTGTCTATCCCTCTTCCCCCAGCATCCAGTTCTGTCTACTCCGCCTCCCTAAGTCTGCCCTAACAAAAGGCCAAGGCAGTCTCTTTATTCAACCAATGAAAGCAACCCATAAGCAGAAGAACCCCCTACACCAATGCTGACCTTGAACTCCTAGAGATTTGCCTGCCTCTGCCTCCTGAGTGCTAGAATTAAAGGCATGCACCACCATACCCAGTTTATGCCAGGCTTTTTATGTGGGCTCTGGGTATTAAGTCCAGGTCCTTATGTTTGCAACTCAACTATTTCCCTGGACAAAGTCTTTTTTTATTTAATTGATGTTTTTTAAATTTAATTTTTCCTTCCTTCCTTCCTTCCTTCCTTCCTTCCTTCCTTCCTTCCTTCCTTCCTTCCTTTTTTGAGAAAGAGTCTACGCAGCTCTGGCTGTCCTTGAACTCACTAGGTAGACCAGGCTGGCCTTGAATTCACACGGATCTCCCTGTTTCTGCCTTTCAAGTGCTGGAGATTTTTAATTTGAAAAAAAAAATTTGAACAGGTTCTCCTGTGGCCTGGATTGGAACAGAATTTGCGATGTAGTCAAGGATCACTTTGAACTTCTGACCTTTCTGCCTCCTGATTTAAGGGATTACAGGCATGTGCCACCACATGCTGCTTGTTTGATGCCGAGTATCAAACCTAGGACTTTGCACTCACTAGGTAAGCACTCTACCAACTGAGCAAAATCTCCAGCCTCCTCTCCTCCAAACTTTTTTTTTTAAGATTTCTTTCTTTCTTTCTTATGTATACAACATTCTGCCTCCATGTATGCCCGCACGCCAGAAGAGGGCGCCAGGTCTCATTACAGATGGTTGTGAGCCACCATGTGGTTGCTGGGAATTGAACTCAGAACCTCTGGAAGAGCAGCCAGTGTTCTTAACCACTGAGCCATCTCTCCAGCCCCCCAAACTTTTTTTTAAAACAGGGTTTCAATATGTAAGGCAGTTTGCCTTAGAACTGGCTTTCCTTCTACCTTAGCTACCTGACTTAGGGTTTTTATTGTCATGAAGAGAAACCATGACTATGGCAACTCTTATAAAGAAATGCATTTAATTGGGTCTGGCTTACAATTCAGAGATTTAGTCCATTATCATCATGGTGGGAAGCATGGTGGCATGCAGGCAGACATGGTGCTGGAGAAGGAGCTGTGAGTTCTATACCTGGATCCAAAGGCAGCAGGAAGAGAGTGACACTGGGCCACTGGGTCACTGGGCATAGCTTGAGCATTTGAAACCTCACAGCCCACCCCCAGTGACAGATTTCCTCAAACAAGGCCACACCTACTCCAATGAGGTCATACTTCCTAATAGTGCCATTCCCTATGAGTTTATATGGGGCATTTTCATTCAAACCAACATACTACCTAAGTACTAGATTATTACGGGCACTGCCACTTCACCCAGACCTCTAATGTTTGTGTTCTGTCCTACTCCTACCCTTGTCAAAAGGAGAGAAGGCTCAGTGGTAAAGAGTACTTGCTGTTCTAACAGAGGACTGAGGTTTGGTTTCTAGCACCCGCATCACCCGCATGGCAGCTCACAACCGTCTGTAATTCCAGTTCCAGAGAAATCAATGCCCTCTTCAGGCTTTCTTGAACACTGGGCACACATGTGGTGCAGACATACATGAAGGCAAAACACTCACAGAAAATTGCACTTCAGGCAATCCTGGTCTAAAGTGTTAAATCCTGTCTAAAAAGAAAAAAAATATCTTAAAAAAATCAAAATGATGTAGTTATTTTTAGAAGTCAAATTACACAGATCTTGTAACCTGCCTTCCTTGGAGCCATTTCAACCATTAACGTCTGTGTCTCACAGCACTCACCCTTGGCTTTCTCCTTGAGATTGCAACAGAGTCAGCAAGTGGCCTACTACAATATCATGTAGCTGTCAAAGTGTAGGGGCAGGAGTAGTGTGTCTCCAGAATTCCCGAGCCTTTCTAAGCTTCAGAAACACAGAAAATCTTACTGCTGCAGCTGGCTGTTTTTATCATTGGTTATACCTTTTCTTCTGCTCAAACTGTCATATATTGGGGGTTTGTAAGTCGAGACAATATGCTTAGCTTTATGTTTAGGTGGAGAGAGCTTACCTGGCATGCACAAGGCCCTGGATGTAGTTTGCTAATAATGCTATTACAAAATCAACCTCTCCATTAAAAAAATGGAATTATGTGTATGTTTATGTTAGCCATTCCTATGTAGGTAACTGAAGAGGCCAGAGAGGGTTTGGATTGCTTGGAACTAGACTTCTTGGTGATTATGAGTGCTAGGAACTTGGGTGCTAGGAACTAAACTTGTGTTCTCTGGAAGAGCAGCAAATACTGAGCCTTCTCTCCATTCCCTGCTCCCTCCACCTTTTAGATTGTGAGTTTAGCCTCTTAATGGCTGAACCATCTCTCCAGCCCCCACCCCAATTTTTTAAACATGGTTTCTGGGATCCTTTCATTACTTTTAGCCACCGAGTCATCTTTTATGCCCCAACAAATTCAAACTTTGAAAGCAGAACCATGTGTACATGGGGGAATCAAGGGAAACAGGAGGGGAAGGTTGGGGATAGATTTGAAAAGATATATATAAATTTAATTTTAAGAGGAAAAATTCTAAAACAAAAGAAAAGTAGAAGTGCCATGCATTGTATGAAATGTTTTAGTGGCTCTGAGGATTGAGCCGAGCACCTTGTACATGCTAGGCAAGTACCCTACTATTGACATATCCTTCGCCTCAGAGGCCTCTTAAAATAGGCCATTTTATGTGTTGAATGGGCCTTTAGGAACTCTGTAACCCAACCAATTCATTTGATTGATATAGGAGACACTGTATCCATCCAAGGGTGTCTCTTGTCTTCTCACTCAAGAGTCTT